GCGCGAATTACACTTTTCCTCTCCTACACTTGAGCTACCCGGCCAACCCAAACAAATACTTCGGAACTGCAATCCAATAAATAACATTATTTGTTTCTGAGAATCGATTTGGAAAGTGTACCATCGTCAACAATGACAACCTCACACTTCCATGCATGAAATTGCTTCGACATATATAACCGCGTGTCTTACTCACGAATTTTAATCTCAACTGAAGTTCGTTTGTTATCTATCTAGTGGTTATTTTGGTGCCTTATGGTGTACCTTTTGATCTGCTGACTCACCCTTGGATTTGTCTAATCAAGACGGTCGTAACCACAAATTTTTAGCTCAATTAAATTCCGTTTGCCTAGTCAATTTTTCGTCCAAAATAATTCAGGTTGTTCAATTTTCAACGAATTACGGTGTTGTCTCATGTCAGATTCAAGTATGCGATCCACCGTTGAAACCTTTGCATTGAGAAGGTCATATAGTCAAAATTTTAGACAAAATGAAGTTTGTTTGCTTAGTCAATTATCGGTTCAATATTATATGCACAAACTACATTTTTTACCAGTGATTGGCCCACATCCAAACCCGTGATAATCTGGCCTTTATCTTACCACTAATGATTAGTGTACCTTATTTGATAAATTTTTCAAATTAATGTACTAAGTTTGATGTCTACTTAAAAGGTGGACTTTTTGCTGAAAAATAACCAACATAATGAACTAAAAATGAAATTTTGCCGAGAGTTGTTCGGCGGCTGGCGTGGGAAATAGTGCTGAAAGATCATGAAAGTTATTAATGTAGCGCAGCAATAAACGAAAGGGGAATAAGATATAAAATCTTAAAATACGATAAGTTTATTCAAAGATAGCCAATCGGCTTGAAGGGAGAAGGACACAATATATAGAGTTCAAGTCTAAATCCCTATCTTGCTAAACAAGTAAATACCAAATAAATAAATATTCTCCTACCAACTAGAAAGAAAGAAATAATAATAATATATTATAATAAAAATACTACTACTAATAATGATAATAATAACTGTAATAATAATCATAATTATTATTCTGCACCATTCTCCCCCGATTGAGCAAGATTCGCCCTCGAATTTGACCCATTCCCGTTGGAGACGTCCCCATGACAAGAATAACCCGACGTTTCCCCCGATCGAATACGAAAGACGAAGGTTGCCCAACAACCTCGATGGGAAACATAAACTTGACCAAGTGTTGTACTGCTACAAAGGTACATATACACGTCTTCCTATGCATAACCCACACAGCAGAATTAACACCAAACATACCACATCGTTCATCGTGCTCAAATCCATAACTACGGGCAAACATCCCGTTGTTGGGAGACTTCGCGAGAGACAATCGAAAAATGGCCCACCAGTTATTGAGCCTCGGCTTCGGCTCCAAAAAACAATCTTTGGCCAAAATACTCCGAAAATCAGGTATGAACGACGGCTTCCCATTTGAAGACTCAACCTCGGTCACGTCCCACACGGGACCCATATTATCGCATAAATATGCCTTCATCACTGGAGGCTCCTCATAAAAAATGGGCGGACCATCGTACAATGACCCATCATCTTGCTCTCCGTCGAATTTGAGGATGTCCACACGAAACGCACTCTCCAAACGTCGTTCGCCGCGCGGGTCGTCGTCTCCACGAGGTTGATCACGCCCAAACGGGTTATACTACTCCTCCGTAGCGTCCGAGTCGCCGCCCTTCTCCTCGTACGGCGCACGTCGGCCACCACCAAAACGCGCGTGACCGCGACCCCCACGGCCACCACGCTGCCCACCGCGACCGCCGTCCCGATGATCGGGCCCGTCACGGTTCGTCTGCTCGCGTCCCATCAAGGTGTGGAGAGCCTCACGAATATCCTCCATGCCCGCCGTTAGGTCCGCCAAATCGCGGCCCATCGACTCGTGCTGGCGAGTGAGGGCTTCGATCGCCGCATCCCGTCTGTCGTCGGCTGAATCGTTCCTCTTTGGCGGCACGTGGGTCGTAGCTCTGGATACCAACTGATGTAGCGCAGCGATAAACGAAAGGGGAATAAGATATAAAATCTTAAAATACGATAAGTTTATTCAAAGATAGTCAATCGGCTTAAAGGGAAAATGACACACTATATAGAGTTTAAGTCTAAATCTCTATCTTGCTAAACAAGTAATAGTAATGCTATAGAGTCAATGGTTGGCTCCCTTATGGAGCCAACACCAAATTAAATTGCTCCATGTGGGGATGTCCCACATGGGATCTATGTGGGACATCCCCACATGGAGCAATTTAATTGGGTGTTGGCTCCATAAGGGAGTCAACCATTGGCTCTATAGCATTACTAAAACAAGTAAATATTAAATAAATAAATATTCTCCTATCAACTAGAAAGAATGAATAATAATAAAATATTATAATAAAAATACTACTACAAATAATGATAATAATAACAGTAATAATAATCATAATTGTTATTCTGCACCAGTTATTGAAATTCATCCAAAGTCGTAACTGAAGAACGAGTAGGTTTAGTTCAATTTTCATTTTCAAAATGTATTATGGAACCATCAGATAGCTCGAATTATTTGTGTTGTTTTGAAATT